CAATCACTTCACCTCTGAACATCCCTGCATTAACACAGGAGCCTTTGGGGACAACTCATATCCAAACCAAAGCAGCATCTTTTATTTAGCACAATGCATTCAAGGTTCATCCATCCGCAACACGCGTCAGTACTTCATTACTTTTTATGGCCAAACAATATTCCATTGCATGGACACGCCACATTTTGCTTATCCATTCAGTTGATAGACACTCGGGTTGATCTCACCTTTTGGTTCTTATAAATATTGCTGCCATCAACATTTGTGTTCAAATTTATATGCAGATAAATGTTTTCATTTCTCCTGACTACATAGCTAGAAGTGGAAGTTAAATAAAAAGATCTAAGCTTAATCATTTCAGGAAACGGGTAGATTGTTGTCTAAACTTCCTGCACCATTTTACATTTCCACCAGATGTCTGTGAAGATTCCAAATTCTCCACATTTTGTCAATATTGTTCTTTTCTGATCTTTTGATTGTAGCCATTCTTGTGGGTATGAAGTAGCATCTGATTGTGGTTCTGATTTGCATTTACTTGATGATGAACCATGCCAAACATCTATTCATATTCTTATTGACCACTTCATCTCCCTTCTACAAATGTTTATTTAGATGATTTGTGATTTTTATTTGGGTTATTTATCTTTTTATTATTGCACTGGAAGATTTTTTAATATATTCTAAATATAAATTATTTACCAGATATACAATTTACAAGCACCCCTCTCATCTATTGATTAGCTTTTCACTTTTCCTTCTTCCTTTTTCTTTGGTTTCTTTCTTTCTCCGTTTTTTTTCTGGGGTTCATATCCACACATGCTAGGCAAGTCCTCTATCACTGGGTTTCAAGAAAGCTCTCATTTTGATAGTATGCTTTGAAGCACAAATTTTTTTAATCTGATGAAGCTTCAATTTAGCTATTTTTTTTTCCTTTCGCACCTTGCATTTTTGTGTCATCTCTCAAAATAGATTGCAACATCTGAAGTTGTAAAAATTTACAGTATTTGTGGTTTTAGCTCTTATACTTAGGTATCTGATTCATTTTGAGTTAATTTTCTGTATATTATGAAGTAAAATTTCAACTTCATATTTTGCCCAGGGCTATGCAGTTGTCCTGAAGCCTTTTAATTGGGAAGATCATTCTTTCCCATTGAGTGATCTTGCCATCTTTGTCAAATATAAATTGACCACAGACACATATACACATGAGTCTTATTGGGCTTATAAGAAAAAAGTGTACAGGGAGTCATCTCAGTTTTATGGAGAAGGATATTTAATTGAAGTCTTTTCTTAGAGTACAATGATGGGCATATATTTCTTAAACCTCACTGTTTCCCAGAAACAGATCTCAGGTAAAGTTCAACATTGTCGGTCCTCCTTTTGTTCAAGATGAATGGATATAATAGTTGTTGAACAACTTAGAGACAATCATAAATCTCCTGAGTGAGATGAAGAAGGTTTTAATAACTAGTCATGCTAGGGCTCTTGGTGGTGGTGTTTCTGTAAAATAAATTGAGCCACTTCGTGAGAGGTGACAGCAAAGGTCAGTTGTTTTAGAATCCTGGAGTGCAGATGTCTTAAACAAGTATGCTGAAATAAAAAGAGAGAGAGACAGAGAGAGAGAGAGAAATATTAAGTTAAAAAGTCAAATTAAAGCAAATACCCCGAAGTCTCATCCTGAGGGTCAACAATCTAGTGAATTTCAAGAGGTTGGCGAATAAAAGCTTTTTGTTGTAAGCAGCACCGCTGTAGAATTGTCTGCTAGCCCTCTGGGTTACAGATTTGGATCTCTATTAATCTATTCCAGTGGAAAATATTCAGCCTATTTGACTAAGAAGTTTATTGAATTTGAATTTAGAAGTACATGCTGTCTGGTCAATAGATTTGAATAATTAGTTCTTTTTTCTAGGTGAGATAGATACTGGTAAAGTGATAGGCTGATTTACTTAGGATCAATTTTCAACATAGGTACAGTAGAAACATCACCAGTATCCTTCCTATGGTCTCACTGGAGAGACTGGGATTGCCCAGAGGATTTTAATAAGGGGATCAGGTGATGGGTGGAATGTCCAGCAGACAATAAGATTGGAAACTGTTTGGGATAATCTAAAAATGGCAATGAAATGAGTATGCTCTGACCTAACCGTTATAATAAGGAAGAGAGAAAAGAGAAAAAAAAAGGCTATTATGTGTGAATGACAGCCAAGGGTCTGTAGAAAGTGAAAAGAAGAATAATTATGAGCAAGTAGAGAAAATAACAAAGCATGAATTAGATGGGAGTCTTGGTCCAACATCTTCACAGTAGCTGCCTATTGTCTGGAGTCAGCTGTTTGTTACCAAGGTCTTGGGTCAGCATTTCTTTTCAAAGATCAGCTGTGTCACAGCCTCTAAGAATCTTAAGTTTTCCATGCTGTAGCCCTCCGTTGGAGTAGACTTCCAATTGTATGGAACTCTGAATTTCCCCAAGCATTGACTCTGGAATTCTACTACAGTATTTATTGTAAGAGTACCTGATAAGGTGTCTTCCAATGAAACCAAGGGCAGCTTTTCTCTTAAATATCTTCCAATGATGAAATATTCTGGTAGAAAATTATAAAGAAGAGATTTAGGAAAATGTTGTGGGAAAATTTTTAGCTTTAACTCATTGGTGACAGAGCTGGTATTCAGTACATAAAAGGACTGCATGAAGAAATTTAGCTCATATCCACTGGAGATGATCTCATGTCACAGAAGGCCATTCTGAGGGTGGCAGAGCCTGTCTCTGTGAGGAGTAAAACCAAATGTGTTCCAATCCTCCTTTTCAAAATCCCACCAGGGATTTATGCTCCCAGTGTTTAAACAGGATCATGACCTTGGTCAAGGGAGCTTGTTCAGCACAAATATCTCCTAGAACAATGTGTTTAGGAATCTCTCCTTAGGGGCCTCACTCAGCCTTTTTAACAGCCTTCGCTTTAGGTAGGGGGGAATGCACCTCAAACTTCTGTAGCTTGTTCATTTTTATAAGGGTCCTGGCAGATGAAAGAAATACCCTGCATCCTGAGAGCACACTAAAGTCAAGTACTACTCCCTAAACATGTCTGCTGCCTACATCTGTATTTACTCTTTGGTGTTCAGCTATTTGATAAACTCTAGTATTGGGCTGATTTTACTTTGGGTAGAGGATTATATTCTAAAGATCCATCTTCTTAAACTACTCATTGCAGATCCTGCTTAATAAACTTCAGTGTCACTTTTAAGGTATGGTCCATAACACAGTATCAGGCCAGGTTTCTCAATGAGGTCACTAATACATGAGAGTAAACTTACATAAAGTTCCCTAACTAAACTAAGACAGCTGAATTGTTGCCTTATTTCATTTTAATTTTTAGGAAAGTGTCAGGATTCGGTGTGTAGTAGGGAAATGTAGTGCTGTGAGAGGGAGAGGTGTGAGGAGCTCATTGGCTGGCTGAGTACCCAGGCAATAGTAGTGTCCAAGTGGCTTGAGGAACCCTGAGGAAAGGCACAGAGCTCAGAACCAGATCAGCAGCAGCATCACCAGGTGTTGCAGCCCCACCTACTGCCCTAAGTCGAGGAGAGTGACCTGAACAACCTGGTCAAGGTGGAGGGTCTAGTAAGCAAGAGGATTTTATTTTATTTTTTTTATGGTTCCCACGAAAGCACAAGGTTTTAGGTAGTTCTCAAGAAACTGAGTTAAAACCCTAAGACTATGTCCAGATCACTCATAAAATCCAGGAAACACCATTTAGGGATTCCTAAGGAAGGAACATAACAGAGAACTTTCTTTGGGTTAAGGAAGACCTATTTCTGTTTGTGCTCCCAGATCAGAGGATCTTGCAGAGGACTTAAGTCCATACATAAAGAGACACTGCAATCACAGAAATCTGGGCACTGTTATCTGAAACACCTAGTTAAACCCGGAAGACCTCTCAGTTGCCATCTTGAAAGGAGTCTAGGATAAGTTTTGCAGCCTTTGACTTATCAGAAGAGAACATTTTCCCTCCTCAAGTAAGTTATGCCTCAAGTAATGGACACTGTTCTGGAAATTTTATAATTTGCCTTTTGAAGCATATCTTTTTGCAACAGGACTGAAAGCAAATAAATGGAATTTTTACAGGCTTTTTCTTCTTTCAATGAACAAAAAATAGGAGGCTACCTACATATGGTATCAAAACTGAATCACAAGAGGCATTTATAAATCTTGATAGAGGGCTTGGGAAAAAAATAGAAGGGGCTTCTGTGAACCCCTGAGACATGACTGCACAAATATATTGTTGTTCTCCCCAGGCAAAGGCAAAACGTTACTCCTGGTCTAGAGGCACACTCAGAAAAGGCAAGGCAGAGATCACTTGTTCACAGTGAAGCAAGTGGCTTTAGGCAGAATTGATGACAGGGTGACATGTGAGTTGGGAAATAAAATCCCCCTGTCTGCGAGGCTGCCACTAACGATAGGTTTGCAGGGCCTGTGCCTGTGTCCTACTTGTGATTCTTCTCATGACAAATCACACTTTCAGACAGCACAACTCTAGTTAGTAACACAAATGACAGCAAGAGGGAAGAAAAGAGTGGCTTGGTTCTATCAAGGATGTCACTCATCTAGGAACTGATAACGAAACCAGAGGACAAAAATCAAAATAAACACCCACGATGCTTAACAAGAAGAGAGCAGAGTTCAGAACTGGCACTGCTTGATCACATCACGGTGCAGGAAGCAGCAAAGCATGAGGCATCCCACAGTTGATTGATGGCTGGGCTCTGAGATGATGGGCAGTGCCAACCATATCTTGATGGAACCTCCAAGAAAACTGGAAATAAATGAAGGTCACTCAAATGAGCACAAACAAATGCTACTTATTCAGAGCTTCCTAAACAAACGAACCACCCACCATTTCTTGTATTTGTCAGGGGCTTGAACACAGAGTGGTGGCAAAGCTCAATAGTGGAAACTAGGAAGGCTGTGGTATGCCTACTTGAAGGCTCTTGGTATAGAGAAGTTAGAGGGAGGCTAACTAGAGGCAGAACATACAACTGGATTGGTGAATATGTATTTGTCCTCTATGGTCAGTCCAAAGTTAGAAGTGGGAATGAAAAATGTAGAACCTGACAATTATTGATCACGTCCTGAGTGATTCTAGAATCAGTGCTAAAGAGGCTGAGGTTGGGCTTCTCAGAGTGTTGTTGTAGAGGTTTTAGTCAGAGTTGCATTTTTATATATGAACTGGCCTTTATCTATTTGTGTCTAAGCCTATTTTCTCTTGTTATAACAAAATATCTGATGCTAGGTAATATATAAAGAAAAGAGGTTTATTTAGCACACAGTTTTAGAGGTCCAAGATCATGGTGCTAGCATCTACTCAGTGCTGGTGAGAGATTCCACATATGTCATAACATGGTTGATAGCATCAAGGTAGGGGAACATGTGTGAGAAGGAGAGATCACGTGGTAATAAAGGAAGCAAGAGAGGGACCCAGGACAGCTGAACTTGCTTTATAACAACCCATTTGTTTAGTAAGCTTTTTTGTTGCTATGACCAAAAGAACTGACAAGAATAATTCCAGAGGGGGAAAAGTTTATTTGTTACTCACAGTCTTAATCCTTAGATGGCAGACTCCATTCCTCTAGGCCCAAGGTGTGGCAGAACATCATGGAAGAAGTGTGTGGCAGAAGAAAGCAGCTGGGGACATGGCACCAGGGAGCAAAGAGAGAGTGAGTTTCCACTCACCACATACAAAATATATACCTCCAAATGTATATCCTCATGACTCATCTCTTCAGCCACACCCTAACAGCCTCCAGTTACCAGGTTAATCCCTATTAGGAAACTAATGCATGGATTCTGTTAAGGCTCTCATAATCCAATCATTTCACTCTGAACTTTCTTGCATTGTCTCACACATGAGCTTCTAAAGGACACTTCACATCTAAACCATAACACCATTCTTTCAAGATCCAATCCACTCCTAGAGACCTGCATTAATCCCTTTTTAGGTTCGTGCCCCCATGGCCTGCCCACCTTCCACTAGGCCCCACTTATTAAAGGTTCTACCACCTCAACATTGTCCTACTGGGAAATAAAACTCTAGCACAAGAAACTCTGGGAGACAAACTGGAACTAGACCCAAACCATAGAAGATTGTATGTTTGGTCCCTCACCACTCACCCAGTTTTTTGAAGCAAAGACGTTGATACATTGGTAATGCCATCCACCATGTTGGTTACTTCTCCAGTAAAGTAATGCATGACCTGATAAATTCACTGGACTTTATTAGTAGTCCAGACAGTAGCTTTTCCAAGGTGAGAGAGAACCATCATTAGGATGATAAATCTTTTAGACTCAGAAGTAGACTGTGGCTTGAAGCTACGGGTGATTCTTCAAATTCTAGGGAAAAAAAGAACAGCTACAAGACAACCTATAGTTCTAGAAAGGACCCAGGCTTAGGGTTAGGAATCAATGACTGCAAGAATGAGAAAGGAAAAAAAATGAAAGGTAGTATATTAGTTTATAGGCAGATCTGGAAGAATAGAAATTCTGGTAACAGATTCAACAGGAGAAGATCCTGTCAAATTTGGAGAGAAGTACCAAACTTCATTTTTCATAATGAAATATAAAGTTTGGCAACCAGACAAGACAGAGTTTGCATATCCACCAGTTGCATGCAGTTTACAAAGAGGTTCAAAATAGCTCCAACACAAATGAACGCAACCAGAATCCAATAATGAAAAATGAACATTTCATTCTTATAATGAAAAATGAAACATTTATCTTTTTCTTTCTGACTTGCCTTTCCAAAATTCTTACTGAATTTTCTTTTTTTCTGGCAATACATTGATTTGCATAGATTTGCATAGACAGTCTGTCCTCCTTGTTAACAGGACAGCATTAGAAACAATGGTAAGACAATCAAAGTCTTGCCTGGGATATCTGTAGAAGGAGGATGCTTATTTAGTCAGATATGACCAGACACTTTCCAAAATAAGGCTGATTTATGGAGCCAGTGCTAGAGTTCCCCACTGAAAGACAAAATTTCCTTCTACAGTCTCTCCCCACTTCTGATCAAAGACAATCTTAAGGAAAGATTATTCTTGATCACCCAAGAGAGCTGGTCTCATGACATCTGCCCTGGCTCTTCACAGAGATGCAGCAAGAACGGCGATTTACATGTAGATCTTCTTCCATTTGCTCTGCTGGAAGTTTTCAGGAAGAATCTCAAATGCACTTTGCAAAGCCTCTTGAGGGTGAGAAGCCAAACCCAGAGCTCCCTATCACATTCACCTGCAGAACCTATTGACTGGCAGGACCTTCCTTCTTCTTGAGGTCCCCCAGGTAGCCTAAGATTCCTGGAAGTCACCTCCTGACTCCCCTGTGAGTCTGGGCACCCTGTGCAGCCAGGTGTCAGGACAGTTTTTCCAAGAGGAGCTTGTAAGCACTGGCTCCATAAATCAGCCTTATTTTGGAAAGTGTCTGGTCATATCTGACTAAATAAGCATCCTCCTTCTACAGATATCCCAGGCAAGACTTTGATTGTCTTACCATTGTTTCTAATGCTGTCCTGTTAACAAGGAGGACAGACTGTCTATGCAAATCTACGCAAATCAATGTATTGCCAGAAAAAAAGAAAAATCAGTAAGAATTTTGGAAAGGCAAGTCAGAAAGAAAAAGATAAATGTTTCATTTTTCATTATAAGAAATGAGCACAGTCTATGGAATTGTTGCTAGTGGACTACCTGCCCCATGACAGGCCAGTTGAGTTGAGAGACAAGGTGTTAAGGAACAAGTCTGTTCCAAAAGCCAGCTCGGAGAGAAGTTAGAGGGGCTCTTGTCACAAGGCCTTTCTTTTCTAGAAGATGATTTAAGAGTAGCTTATAGAGGTAGCTGATGGGTACCTTCTCACAGAAGCTGATCCTAATCACCTAGTCATGAGAGATTTTTCAATTCTATAAATCTCAAAAATAAAGATTATAATTTTCCTGAGCTATCTTGTCACTGACTAGTTACATATTACAAAATAAGCAGGCTACAGGGTAGATGTGGCCACAGTCTTAACTATTGCCAAATTCTCTGTAATGAGCAATTATGAACTCCCAGTAATGAAAAAAACTATCCTTAGTTCTGGGTTTCAATTCCTAGTGTCAGATGTCCATTCCATAGTCTTAGGGGATTGGGGTCGACGTCTCATATCTGACTACTTCCTGCTGAGAGGGGGTGTTGCAGGGGGAAATGGAATGGAACCACCTGACCTGATAGGACTTGAATTCCAGTAACTGTTTAAGGTATATTTGTGTTTTTAAAAAATGGAGGGCTGGGATGAGGATAGACCAAATAAGTACTCTTCAAACAAATTTTCCCTAAAGGACAGGCTTGTAATTTTAGCCAGATAGCTAATCTGACATCAGCTGATACTATAAATATTTCTACTTCCTTTTGTCTTTTTACTCAAAGTCCCTAGCTTAGTGTACAGGTTAAATACTTGCAAGTGGAGACACCACAGTTATTAAACATAGTATAAAATGTTGATTTCTTACCAATTTTTCCTTCCTCGAATTTGTTTCCCATGTTAGCAGAGGCTCCTGTTAAACCTTCAGTTTAACAGCTCTGCTAACTAGCTCTCTGCTAGTCATGTGGTACTAACTAGCAGACCCCTTCATCCAATTTCCAAATTCAGCCAAATTGTAAGAAACAAAATTTAAATTGAAATATCATAGCCTATAAGCACTGCAAAAACAGTTCTTTGGATTTTTATCAAAGATATCAAATAACCTTTGTTGTTATTTTTTTTCCTGTCTGGCATAAATAATAGAGAGCCCCATTTTAACAATGCTATTTAGTATGGAGGAGATGCATGAGAGTAGGAAGCAAAAGCTCAAAGTTACTCATCCTTTTTATGGAGAAGAAGTTCTCTGTTGTTGTGGTGGAGCTCCCATGCATAAGGACCAGTCCACCTCTCACTCATGGGTGGCCAGATTCTTGTTCTTTCCAGGTTTTGAGTAGCACTCTATCCCAGAAGTAAATACATACAGAGCTTTGTCTGATGGAAATCTGGACCTAGAAAAAGGAAATTTCTACACACTATTTATTAATTATTTGAACATTTTTTCAAGATTTAAAGTAAGGAGACAAAGTAGATAATACAGATGGCTGAAAAGGTCTCCCGAACAGAATTTTTAATGGGCTGAATTTTAGCCCATTTCAGAGTCATTTGCAGTTGAGACTTGTTCTTCCCATGTCTTATGCACCCATACAGCAGGCCCTTTAGAGTCCAGCTCTATATTTGACAGACCTTCTTCAGGGGACTGGTTGTGTCTCCAGCATTCCTGGAAGAGCCATGTGTAGCTAATTAGTCAGTTGCCTACTGTCAGTTGCATCCAGGGCTCCTGCAGGGAAATGTGACTTCAAGTCCAACGGAGCCCCTTCAGTAGTGCCTGCTCCAGTATTGACTGCTGATTCCTTACAGAATTTTAAACCAAAATGTTCTGTTCAAAGCATCTTTTTAAAACACTTCTTTCTTTACTCAGAAATGATAGTCATGCAGCAGTGTAATGACAGAATTAAAAACACACAATCATAAACTTGTCCTAAATACAGGGTATCAAGTGTCAGGCAATCATGCATAAGAACGCTTCCTTGAAAACCTCCCAGTTTTATTGTCTTTTTGGTAAGATGGACACAAGTGACTCCATTTTGATTTTAACAACTTCTCCCCCTGTTTCTCTAAAAACATTGCCAGGATGGACCTGTTCCAGTTGTTGACCTCATTTGGTCCCAAGTTGTAAGGGAAATGATAGACTGCTAGCAGTCAGTGGACAAACCTTTTTCATCACATCTCAGCAACAAAGAGGTTTAAAAAGGAAAGGTTCTTAAGCAAAGCATACCTGGAATACAAACGCACTTAAAATCTGAAATAGCCAGTGCCCACTCCGTGAAAACAAACAGATGGAAAGCAAATTGCAAATAGCAGGGTTTTTACCCCCTCCAAATGGCATCCAATGTAAGCAGCAGAAGTGCCAGATTTTCCTGACCATTTTGTGTGTTTAAGGTCCAGATGCAATGCACCAACTTGTGTAAAAGGCAGCAATTACTGGTCACTTCACATGAATTAAACATTCACATCTTTAACTTTAACAAACTTCAGCAAAATATTTAGGTGAAGCTCCGACACACAGCATATTAAGCCCTCAGATACAAACACATCTCAAATCACAGGTATGTAAGATGCCCAATCTATGATAATAGCCTCCTTGTAAGGTATGAGATTTGATTTAAAGTCAAATGTTATAGCTCAATATGGAAAGGACTTCCATATAACACAGAAATATTATAATATTGACCATTTTTTTTCAAAAAGTTTTGATAATAATATACTCGGATGCTTTAATCTCTAGAAATGTTGAACACATCACGTTCCCATTAGTCACTTAGTAGGCATCATGGTTATCAGATCAACGGTCACATGGTGCTTGTGTTCAAGTGACCCTTACTTTGCTTATTAAAGTCCCCAAAGCTCAAGAGTATCGATGCTAGAAATTGTAGGTCCAGGATGTATGATTAGAAAAAAAAAATGCTGTAAAGTGTTTCCTTAAACTTAAAGGTCAAAGTTCTCCACTTGAAAGGAAAGAAAATAAAGTATATTCCAAGGTTGCCAAGATATACCTAAAACAAACCCAGATGCAGAAGAATCTGGAAATGAAGAAACTCGTAATGGTTTTGCTGTCACACCTCAAACTGCCAAAGTTAGGCCACAGCACACATGAAAAGGTGTTAAATGATAGGGTTCAGTATTGTATGCATTTTCAGGTGTCCACTGTGGTTCTGGAAACATATCTCCCAAGGACGAGGTCGGGGAACTGCTGGATTTAATTCTTCTTCCATTTGATCTTGAAATAGTTGTCTCATGAGTACATTTGCTTCTCAGCTAGATGTCTGGAACTTCTTGCTCATTGCAGTGATCAGTCTGAGTCTCATCAAGTTTAAGCAATGCCATCAGGGCTCTGAACCCAGAGAGTCTGCTTAGTTCTTTCTACCAGGCTCTAAGACATCCTCTTTGTTGAAGGTGGAACACTCTGACCAGCAGCTGACTTCCAGGATTTCATAAAATAAACAAACAAAAACCAACTCCAAAAAATCTGTCTGTAGATGACAACTCTAAAAATGCCTTTTCAAAAGTGAATGATCTGAGTAGTTCATTTCAAGATTAATGCAGTTGACAAGCACATCTGATTGTTTCTGTGACATAGAAAACAAAATAAAATGAATCCAAAATTTTTACACAAATTGTCTATAATCACAATGTTTCACAATATTTTCAAAGAGTGAATAGCATATCTAATTTATGAACATGGGTGTGTTTCATCATCATAATACAAACATTTCCATATATAATCCATTTTAAAAATCATGAGACATTAGATGCCATCTGTGGCTAGCCCATCATTAGAATTCACCAAAAGCATGTCAAAATCATCAAGTATAGAGATCCCATAAATCTGGTGTAACTTCTAATCATCAGTAGATCTACAAAACTTCATAAGTCATGTGATTCCCCAAGAGTAAACCACCAGCCTAAAATACACTGGTTTAAATTAAAGAAGTAAAGTTGCAACCAAATTAATATTTAAAAGCATAACTGAAATCATGACTGACAACATTAGTCTATTGTCTGGTGTTAGGAAAAGAGACAACAGGACTCTGAAACATAAGGACATATTGTGGGTAGTGAAAACAGTCACAATTTTATGGCTCCTTCATATGCAAAATACAACTTTAAAAAAACTTACATTAATAAACTTTTACTCATACAAATTTAACTTAGGGAAATTTCAGATTTGACCATGGTCTCCGTGCATCTTGTCGTTCATAACATTTCAAATAATCCAAACTTTTTCTAACACTTCTCTTCATGAAGTAAAAGAACAAACCTGTGACCTTCCAGGGGCCCTCTCGAAGCTAGTTTTAGGTGCTGATAAAGCTAATCAGACACTGTACTTGCACAACCTTTGGCAGTCTGCCCAGGACCACAAAGCCCCCAGCTCTGTGTGAATTTCTCACTCTTTTCCTTGCCTGTCCGCTCCCAGGTGAAGATGCTGCCTGTGGGCCTAACCCACAAACCAACATTTCCTGCCTCCACTTTGCTCTTGTCACAACATGTGATGATGTTTGTCAGGTTTCAAGAACTCCCTCTCACCACCCCTCCCAACACCCTTTTCCTTCCACAGCCACCTAGCCCAGTGTCTCTGCATTTAAAAGCTTAACTCACCCGTCCCTCCTGGAGACATTGCTGGTTCGGGCTTTGAACATCTCTGAACATTTTTCTCTCCTCCAATCACAAAATTCCCTCAACAGAGTTTTTCCACACTAATGTCCAGATCACTCTTTTTCTTTAACAGTCATGATGCCATGGTGCAGAAGGAACATCGACGGTCCCCTCAGCTCCTGCGCTCTTCCCTGGAGTGTCAATGCCACCTTATAGGAACCTGGGTGCCTGTTCCTGGCTGGGGAAATCAGGATC